GGTCTTGTTTATGTCCGGTCTATCTCTTATCTGAATATACTGTAGAGGGTTTTTTTCGATATGCCGACAGAAACGATTAATTCTCTCAAAAAACTGAATGCATTGGTATGATTTTTTTATGAAAAAGTAGCTAAATGATGTCTAAACAAGCTTGGAAAACCGCTTCTCGATATCTTGTTCCTATCCTAAAATTTAGGCCAAAGAAATGTTATATGGAAATCGCTTAAATTTTTATTTTTTAAGCTAGTTTTTCTCGAATTCTGTTTTATTCATCAAAATAAAATCACCATTTTTGAAAACATTACAAAACATGGCTAAAAACTAAGTAAAATGCACATTTCTTGTTTAAACGCATATACAGGGTGACTTCGAAGTTGAGTCATTTATTTTAACAGTGAGTAGATCTGATCAAAAGAAATGTTTTTTCCTTTAACATTTTTCTGGTAAAATTAAATTAACACAGTTATAGCCCTTTATAAGTTTGAGTACCGCCCTGTCTCAATAATAATATTATGTGCTCGTGTTTGGCGACAACGGATATAATCCGCCTTATCGGTTCATCGCATCGGAAACAAAAAAGCGAAAGAATTTGGAACGATGTTTTTACAATTATTTTATTCAGTTGTGTTGTATACAGTCAGTGTCAGTCGGTAACGCGTTAGTGAGTCTGTTGCGTGGCTCAAACGAAATAAAAAATGGCACATGTTTATGCGGATCGGTTTCCCAATCGAGTGCAACCAATCCCTCGTGCTTTTGTTAATTTAGTACAAAGGGCTCGTGAATCAGGTGACTTAAGACCTCACAGAGGAGGGCATGCCGGTGCTCCAAGACCGCACGAACAAATACAGGTCCGCACTGGAAAAAACCATTGGCGTACCATTTTTTTCTTAAAAAATATCGAAGTCAATACCTGTACGCACGCTACTGTTAAAGCTAAAAATTATTTTTGCATTGAAAAATATGCAACTCTATCAACTTTCACCTCGTACCAAATATCAGTGAAATATCTGAAGGGGTTCTGAAAATATTAATTAATTTCCATTTTTTCCCCAAAATTTCAACACCCCGTGTTTTTGTAAGGAAACATTTTTGGACCATAGTCTATAAAGCAAACTAACATTAATTTTTCATGTAGACTCACACCCTTAAATATTCGCATATCATTAAGGAGCACCCTGTATACACAATGGGTATATACGAAAAAGACAATCAATAGAAGTAGGCCATTGAATACAGCAAAACAAATACCTAATCAAAACATAAATATTGCCAAGAGTTTCCCGTGACTTTGAGCAATGTTTGTGCTAACCAAATGCGTTTCATGAACGATGAAGCTGTTGAATTGCTTGAAGTTTATTTTGAATGTCTTCTGAATTCCACTAGATATCCAAATCGGCGTCTTTGAGATGTGAGAGTTTTTCCCCGATTTTGGAAAATATTAACCGCATACTGGGAAGATGTGGAAGATTGGCGATAAAGTCACTTTAGTATTATATTCGATATTTTTGTATTACAATCCTTCCTCGGCAATTACTGCATTACAATACATCATTATCAGCATATTTACATTTTAAATAAGGTCATACATAACATATAGATATAATAATCGTTGAAACAATAAAAATACTCAATTGAAATGGATTACGATTTTTCTGTAAAATAAAATTATATGCAAAATATTGCGGGAGGTTTTCCCCTAGTAATGACGAGTTACCGATAGTCCAAGACCCCAAACACCGGATTTCAATTATTTTTCAACGTATCCATTTTATGGTGAATCTAATCTTCAAGTTGAAAATAATTTGTTCTTATTCGATATGGATAAAATGAGCCGTTTTTTGAGGGAAAAAACACACCTGTTTCGGTACAGTTCTAGCAATTTTGAGCATAATGTTTCCGCGATTATGAAAATCAGATTCGTAATTTGCAACGCGGAAAACCACGTAATATAAATTTTCAGATTTTCAATCAAGTTTTCCATTTTTGTTGCAAAGCTAACTTTTTTTATTGTCATTAATGCATGCATGATATTCTTGAAAACAAATATACAGGGACCCGTCGATTTTGTTTTCGAGGGGGACACAAGTTTGGCAAAAAATCACGTTAACACGGGCAGCCCTCTGGGCGGGGGTGACACCAACCCTAAAATCTTAAATGGAAAGGGGGGTCGAGTGATACATTATTTCAAAGGCCTTTCAATTCCCTTTATAATGATGTAAAATACATGAGCGTCAGTTCAGTAGTTTTGAAGATTTATTGATTTAAGTAGACTTTAATAGGTACATCAGATTAGTTTGTACTACTTTCAGAAGAAATTTGACTAAAAGAATTTACTTAATAAGTAAATGCTTTTCTTCACTACGCCCATGGTTTGTTTATCATTTTGTTTTTGAAAATAGCTATTGGAGCGTTTTTTTGTGGCAAAAAAGTTATTTCTTGAAGACAGATAAGGAAATATCTCGTACTTATTTTAAATAGGAATTTAGTACATAGTTTCCGATTGATTTATTGCTAAAATAATTTGTAACGCTTTATTACATAAATTAACGATGGTATATTCCACAGCAGGAAAAAAATGAGCTGCCAGTACATGCGTCTGTTTCATTTTCGATGCGCCACCCTGTATCTATATGTCTATACGCACTTGCCACCTTATCCAAACATCATATTTGAATAACGAATTCGTGCCAGTTTACATGAGATCTTGGACTATCGAAATCGATATTGCATCAAGTTTATTCAGTCCATTTCTGTTTGCAGTTTCAGGTAGGTGAGTACTTATATATAAAAGTCGGTCACAATTGTTTGCCATTTGCATTGTGTGTCTTCATGTAGTAAAGTGACAATACAAGATATAATAATTGCGAACAGGTATGTATAACAAGGGGTTTCCCCTCGTTTGACCTGTCGTGTATCCATACAAAATCAGAGGAAAAAAGTACACCATTGGTTTCTGCAATATACTAAACTCATTACACTGGACAACAAATTTTAGTTTTTTAATTGTATCTTGTGGGAAAAGTGCACTTCTCTGTTAATTTTGGGGCGCTGAATCCAAAAATGACAATGAAATAAAAAAATTAGTTGCGGTTTAGAAAAAAAACTTTTTATTTTTAAGGATATATTAAAAAAAGGAACAAGATTCATATACTTATAAGGATCACTATATGCGCTGTCTTTTTGCTGTTCTTTTATGGATCGTTTCTGGAGCATCTCTACCAAGAGTCCAACAGTAGTCTGCAAGCATGGAAGGATTCCACTTTCCCTGGTACCTTTTTTCCATTGTTGAAATATCCTGATGAAAACGTTCGCCGTGCTCATCACTTACGGCTTCGCAATTGTCAGGAAAAAAGTCCAGGTGTGAGTGTAGGAAATGTATCTTAAGAGACATATTACAGCCCATCTTTTGATACGATGACAGCATATTTTTGACAAGGGTTTTATAGTTGTCAGCTTTTCTATTTCCCAAGAAATTAGTGACCACCAGACGGAAATCATTCCAAGCAGTTTTTTCAATACCTGTTAAAGTGTTTTCAAACTGTGTATCTTTCAAAATATTTCGAATCTGTGGCCCAACAAAAATACCTTCTTTAACCTTTGCCTCACTTAGTCTTGGAAATTTCTGACGCAGGTACTGAAAAGCTGACCCATCTCTATCTAATGCCTTGACAAAGTTTTTCATTAGGCCCAACTTGATATGCAGTGGTGGTTAAAAGATTTTTTTCGAATCTACTAATGGCATATGCTGTACATTTTTTTGACCTGGCTCTAGGAATTGACGAACAGGCCAGTTTTTTCTGGTGTAATGAAGTGCCTTTGCCGGACTGTCCCATTCACACAAAAAACAGCAAAACTTGGTGTAGCCTAGCTGCAGCCCAAGTAGGGGAGACCGGGGCTGAAAGTGACAGGGGTAGGTTGTTACAGTGGCAATGATCGCGGAACAGAGAACGCAATACTGACGTTAGAAAGCGACAAATACTCCCGCCACTGCCGGCACGCATGCCCCGGGAGCCAGTGGTGCCAGCGTTTTTGTGAGGGGAGCACGTGCATGCTGCCATTAAAATCGCAGGTTAGTAAAATTTTATACTTTTAGTAATATTGGTTTACAACCTATGTTACATAAAGGCAGAGATATCCTTGTTGTGATTATTATGCCCTAGTGCTGGCGCTTTGCAATTAATCTACTTTTATACAGCTACGTTTATTGTCGTTTTCACTACATAACCTTAAAAGATCAGATTTGGCGGTGGGGCTAAAAGTTACGTTTGCTCGGGGCAGGTTGTGATTTGTCACTACCTGCCCCGTAGTGCTTGTTTCCGACTGACATAGTTTGTGCTACATATTTTTTGTCTTTTCTTTATAGGATGAGGACGTATATAAGAAAAACGGAGCGGGGCAAAATATCTAAAGATATTTATGAGCAAGCAGCAGTTATTTTGGAGGAAGACAAAACTAAAAAAATTCGTGGCATCGCTAAGGATTTCGGATTATGTCATATGTCGCTAACAAGATATTTAAAGAAACGAAAACAAGCAAAAGAGAAGGGCACACCTGTGGAATCTCTCACAGTCGGCTACCAGAAGAATAGACAAGTTTTTAACGATGAACAAGAGGCAATTTTGGTGAGTTATTTGATTAAATGCAGCCAAATTTACTACGGACTAACGCCAAAGGATGTCAAGCAACTGGCATTTTCTTGTGCACTTAAGCACAACATTGTAATGCCACAATCGTGGCTAGACAAAAAGGAAGCAGGGTCTGATTGGCTAGCGGCATTTCTTAAACGCAATAAGTCGTTATCTATAAGATCACCAGAAGCTACAAGCTTGAGCAGAGCCACATCATTCAATAAAACGAATGTTGGTGATTTCTTTTCTAAATTGGCTGATGTGATGGATAGATATAAATTTCCTTTGGCACGGATATGGAATGTAGACGAAACAGGTGTGACAACAGTACTGAAACCAAGAAAAGTTTTAGCTCCAAAAGGATCTAAACAAGTTGGTTCCATCACATCAGCAGAGAGAGGGACTCTTGTAACTATCTGCGCAGCAGCAAATGCAGTGGGAAACTCGGTGCCATGTATGTTTATCTTCCCTCGAATTAAATACAGAGACTATTTTGTTCGCGATGGACCTCCAGGCTGCATTGGCGCCGGAAACGCAAGTGGCTGGATGACTGGACTTGAATTCAAAACATTTATGAAGCATTTCATAGATAATGTGAAACCATCTCCATCTGACCCTGTTCTTTTATTATTAGACAATCATTCTTCACACTTGGATATTGATGTCGTCGAAATGGCTAAAGAAAATAATGTGGTATTGCTGTCCTTCCCACCACACTGTTCGAATAAGCTCCAGCCTATGGATGTGGCGGTCTACGGACCATTCAAAAATTACTGTGCCAGTCAACAAGATGGTTGGCTTAGAAATAATCCAGGAAAGACAATGACTGTACATGATATACCATCAATAGTGAAAAATGCTTTACCCTTGGCATTAAATCCCAAGAACATTATTAACGGATTTAAGAAGACTGGTATTGCACCATTCAATAAAGATATTTTTCAAGATGATGACTTTTTGTCGGCTTTTGTTACTGATAGACCACTAGGCGAAACGATCAACTCGAACATCGAAAATGTTCCTGTTACGACACAGAACGGGGAGGCTTATGTTTCAGCTCTACCTCCTCCTCATTCTCCTATACAGAGTGCCATGGCATATCCCGAGAGCTCCATTCATGCTAACCCAGTTGCTGGCTGTAGTAAAGATATGATGCCTAACGAAAATAATTTTTCTCCCGAGACTGTTCGGCCTTATCAAAAAGCTGCTGCGAGAACAACCAAGATAAGAAGAAAAACTCGCAAATCAGCAATTTTAACTGATACACCAGAAAAAAATGCTTTGGCTCTGGAACAGAGTAAGAAGAAGGATAAACAATCCAAAAAAGAAAAGTCAGATAAAGGGGGAAAATCTACAGCAAAGAAGACAGAGATAGAACAGGAAAATACCAATAAGAGAAGGAAAACAAGTAACGAAAAAAGAATCCTTGCTGCAAAGAGGAAAGTATTACATGACACTGACGAAGAAAGTGCAGAAGAGGATGGATATTTTTGTCTGATGTGTTGTGATCCTTTTGATCCGAAGAAATCTGGTGAGGAGTGGGTACAGTGTAGAGCTTGCAAGAATTGGTCACATGTGAAATGTGTTAGAGGAAATATTGCATATTACGTATGTGTGAACTGCGAAAGTGATTTTTCAGACTACAGTGACTAAACTGCTTGGTATTTTTTTAAGTGTAGTTTATCTTCAATTACAAAATACGTTATGTTGATTAGTAGGCACGAAGGTTTTATTTAATACCTACAGAGGTTTATAATCTTGTAGTTGAAAAATTATCCATGTTTTGATTTAATGAAGAATACCCAATGTTAAGTTTGTAATTTTGTTTCTTTTTAGATGTTTTCGTTGTAATGAGGCAAAATACTGCTCTATAGATATAAGCATATTATTGAAATTAAGAAAAGTGACTAATTATGTTGAGTGTTCCTAATAAAAACTCTTATAATACGTTTGTTTCTTAGTGTAACAATTTGCCCCATGTAATGTAACAACCAGCCCCCTGCATGGGGTTGAAAGTTACACGGTTTTCTTTTCAGAATCCATTTATTTACGTCATTGCTATTTGTCTGCTATATAAAATATATTTTGGTAAAAGATCCTGAATAGTTACTTCATCAAACAAACCAATACTCAGGTGAAACAATTGAACCACTAAGAAGATATGACAGTTTGAAAAAAAAATGTCACAACCAGCCCCGGTCTCCCCCCCCCTAAAAGTGCAACAACTTTGAAATCGCCACAAATATGCCATTGGTGCTCATCGTATTTTATGCATGTCAATAGGTACTTCATATTGTCATATGATTCTTTCATGTGAACTGCATACCCTACAGGAAGAGATGGTAAAATATTTCCAATATGCAATAACACTGCCTTTAAACTCAATGTTGAACTGTCTATAAACAATCTCCATTCTTCTGGGTTATTATTTATATTTAAAGCCGCCAGTAAGCCGTTAATGTTACTGCAGAAAACCAAGATATTCTCCATATTGAAAAATGGTTCTAAGTCTTTGTGGCGTTTACGAAAAACACATACCGAAACATCGTCTTCTAACAAGTTCCACTGCTGCAGTCTTGATCCCAGTAACTCTGCCTTACATTTTGGAAGTTCTAAATCTCTTACAAGATCATTTAATTCTGACTGTGTTATTTTGTGCGGTTGGTGGCATGACGTGCTCGGTATAAAATCAGGATCTCTTGACGTTGATGGCATATCTTCTTCCTGACGAATCACTCGATCGCCATGATCTGATTCGTTTTCTGATTCGCAAGTGTAGGATTCTGGGGGTTTTGGAATAGGATTTTCGTCACTGTGAGGCACAGGTCTCATCGCAGATGGTATGTTTGGGTAGTTAATAACCGATTTTTTTTTCTTGGACGTACCTGTGGCTTGTCCAACACAAGGTACCATGCAAAAGTAACAATCATTAATATGATTTGTAGGCTCTCTCCAAACCACTGGGACAGCAAAGCGCATAGACCGTTTTTTGCCATTTAACCAGCTCCTCAGACTTGAAGCACATGTATTACAGCAGATGTGGGGTGCCCACTGTTTGTCTTGATCACCTAGTTTACAACCGAAATAAAGCTGATATGCCTTTGTTATTAGTGGAGTAATATACCGTCTCTGAGACGCAAAAGTCACATCACCACACACGTAACAAAACTGATCTGGATTGTTTACACACTTTCGAGACATCTTGCATGAACGCTGTCAGCCAACTGAGGAAAAAATGGCTAATATAAAACAATATAATGTACACGTATGTATAACGTAACACAATCATGCCGATTACATCATCTTTCCTTGCCGAATATAAAAATGTAGCACGTGCATTCTTGTGAATTACAGTATATTAACACTGTCACAGCAGGAACACATATTTTTTTACCGTATCTCTAAAACTTGAACTAATATTGAAAAAATAAGTTTCATTCCGGTTTTAGCACATTAAAAATAGTAATATTTTGTTGATTTTATTTAGGATATTTTTTGGTTGTTGATCAGTGTTATTATAGGGTGTCACCGAGTAGACTTTAAAAGGATTGTGTTAGTATCATATCTGTATTAGTTAAAATTCTGATTTATCTATTTTATTTCGCTTTCAACAAACATACATACATAGATTTTTGCTTTATATCGACCACAATCACCACAATCTTAGTAATTTTCATAATCTAATCTAAAACGTTTTTAAATTGGGTAATTAACAAATAAATGGCATTAAGTTTTTCTAAGTTAAACCAAAATTTGTAGTCGGTAAGTTTCATTAAGTTAAATATTTAAAACACACGTGACAACAGCGCGTCGGTCATTCATCACTCTTATCGAACCGGCGATCGATCGCAAACGGTAACAGTGGCTAGTTTTTGTTCGCGTACGTCGTCGTGTTTATTTACAATTTTATCGAATCAAGAGTTCGCCGACATGTTGTTAGTTTACGGTGAAGCTCGTCAGAATTCAAATGTTGCAGCTCAAATAATGAAATAATACCTAAGAACCAAAAATAACAAACTGTTTATTTACACTGCGGTCAGTCGCAATTTGCGTGTGGCATAGCGGCGTTGTCATATTTTATTTTACTTAAATGCCGTTTTGACCTCCATATTATATAAAACTTTTTGCTTCTTTCAACCCCCGCTATCACCCATTTAAATAATGACTATCATAACGTTTACACCCTGTATATTGAATCAGCAACATGTCAATCACTATCACCAAATTCCAATTTTTGTATATTTTCATACGCAGATATGAAAAATATCTTTATAATGCTCATCAAACCGTCTACTTTGTTGTTTCCTTGATTAGAAAAAGACGATAAGTACAAATGTCAGTAAATGATAACATGCAATTAAACATTAACCAACATTTTAGATTGTTTGCGTTTTGATAAAAAAAATATGCATGGAAAACGATGCTTTTGTGGAACCGCGCTTGATTGACACGAGCTGTGGATTAAAAATAGAACAAGGGCGTGAGGTGAATATAATTAAGTATTGATTCATTTACTGTAATTACTTTGCATACAACTGAGTGCACATACTCCATTAATTTTCTTTTTATGATTCAACCTGTAAAGTAATACCCGGAATAAATTCATTGTATTTAGTTGTGTGTGTGTGTGTGTGTGTGTTGCAGAACAATGCCGTGAAAATTCAAGTGCTATAAACAAAAGAAATGACGTCAAGTAGATTCACTTCCTACGCCTTCTGTTCTACAGTATATTCAGATAAGAGACAGACCGGACATAAACAACACCACGTGATCATCGAACGCTGTAACATTCGGCAGGGACGTATTAAGAGTCACGCAGTACATATTTTAGATAGTAGATGCTGCTTTGCGTAACTTTGTAGTAAATTAGCACAATTCGATGTGTATACGATTGGTGATGGATATAGGATCATGTGGGGGTGGGGTAAGAAATATATAATGATGTAAACATACATAAGGGATTCAAAATTTTCGCTTCGATTTCCAGCTTCGGATGCCGTCTGATGTTTGGTGAAATACAGTCGAATATAATCTCAAAATGGCGTTTAAATTAGCCTGAATTAAAAATAATCGTATATCTCTTAAAGTTGCTTTTAGAATATTGATTAGTATATTTTTTGATTTCTAGGTAAATATGTAACCAAATTAAAACGTTCAAAACGTAAAAAAATGTGCATGGTTGAACATTGTCAGAAAGTAGATTCTTGAATAGGTTTTGCCAAAATGGGTTCAAAAATGTCAATAATTAATTAAAAAATACAGTAGCTTTATAATTACTTATAACTTACCGAATTTGATGAACGACATCTTTTATTGGAAAGATGAGCTTGATGAGCTTTCATCATCGCTACTGCCTGAAGCACCAACGTCAATAATGAATGGCTCGACTTGTTCCTCTAAAATATTGTCCAGTTCCCACATTCTCTTTTCAACTTTGTCTTTCACGTGCTTAATACAGTTTTTTTTCCCATTTTTGCGCTGTTATTAATTCTAGTGCTTCTTTGAAAAGTCCTTTGAGGTCACAAAATTTAAAAGTTGTATTGTGCTTAGCTATATAATTTTTAACCTCTGCCCATATGAGCTCAATGGGATTGAGCTCGCAATGGTATGGAGGTAAACGGAGCACAGTTTTATTTTGACTTGCTGCCATTTCGTCAATGGCGTATTTTTGATATTCCGCCTTGTGATCCTTGACAATTCTTAATAATTGTACTTTCAGCATTGCTTCTTCAAAGTTGATATTTTTCGAGCGGAGCCAATTTTGAACATCAACTTCCCTTGAAGCCGTTGTTGGGACCTTCTCCATTCTTCGAGAATGATAAGGCGCATTATCCAACACAATTACTGCGTTTTCTTAGACTCAAAGCACCACAGACCGTCAACAACAAATCCATCCTCACTGCCAATATGGCAGATAATGAGCCTTTTCCCTTTACCTGGAAATCGATGTACTAACTGGTGTAGATTTATTTCAATAAGCGAACCTTTTTCAAATGTTTTCATCACATTCAGCGAAAAAACATTGAGACATGAGTATCAGATTGCTATAATTGGGATTATTTAGTCATATTGAAAGAAAGAATATTGAACGTCGTATGATTACTCAGCGCTTCACAATTTAATTTAAAGTTATAAACCTTTAAAAAATGAATGATCAGGAACCTGAAATACGCGCAAATATTAATATAAACAAATTATAACTTTATAAAGCTTAAAGTATGAATTAAAATGATTAGAAATATTAGGAACGGTACACAATATAAAACTTAGTAACTTTTTTTAAGTTTATAATATTCGACATATTTTAAGATTATATTAAAAAATTATTGAAATATCGAAAACACATAAAAACATGGCTTAAAAAAGTTCTAACAAATGAAAATGACAATAAAACATCCACGCATTTTATCGAAAGTTATAAAAGTTTTGTTACTTGTAATATGTTTTATCTGCCCCCTGGAATTAATGTTTAGAACCTTGTTCCCAAGGTTTGAAAAACATCCGATTGTTGTCTATTACTCGTATTTACCTGCTGGATTTTTTAATCCGGTGGACAGTCCATCTAGAAAGGCCCTCCTGGATGAAGTTACAGAATCATCAACCCATACTTTACTTGTAGTGTGTCCTGCGTTTAGCCACGTTTCATCAAGGTAATAAATCTTCCTGTTTTGATTTCTATATTTCCCAATTTTTGTTAAATAATCCCTCCTCCATAGCACAATTTCTTCTCTATCCAGTAGTAAACTATTACGACCCCGTTTTTTCCATTTGAAATTTAAATGCTTCAGTAACGCATGGAAAGTTGATCGTTTGAAATTTGGCAACGTTGTATCTCCATTTACCTCCTGCAGTACTTTATCTATAGTAGGTATTTCATTCCTAAAGAAGAATTCGTGCACTTTCCTCCTAATCGCATGCTTATCAGCTTCATCCAATGATTTAACAATACTTTTGCGATGTTTACTGGTCATTGGCTCAGAAAAGGTGTGATTTTTTTTGTATTGTCTTAACACATTAAACACTGATGCGCGACACACCCCAACTTTGTGAGAAACCTTCACAACAATTTCTTTGATGGTTGATGCCTCGTTCTCCTCGCGCTCGATCTTATATATATTCACAATGACCTCTTTCATTTCTGCACTCAGGTGTCTTTTTTTAGAGCGTTTCCTAGGCGGACTACAGGAGTTTACAACTTCATCGGCAGTATCTGTACTACTGGGCATTTTGCGCAAGCAGTTGATAACAATAACAATCAATAACAAGGTATAACAATAACAACGACAAACTCAACAACTTAATAAGATAACAAACGAAAACGTCCAAAGAAATATCAAATTGCAATGATGCACACGACATACGTAACACGTCTGAACCTGAATGTGACTCTGCCTTGATACGACTGCTCTGCCGCTCGGCATTGGCATTTAATTGCGAATTGACCAATGAGGGCTCCTGTTTTACGTCGAGACGGCGGCGTTAGCGTGAAAATCACCCGAACCTTTTGTTTATATCCGGTCTATCTCTTATCTGAATATACTGTATGCATCTCGTATTTGTAACTCCAAAAAAAGGCAAGTACCAAAGTGCAGAGTCAACTTACTTGACGTCATGTGGGGGCAGCCCGCCGAATTAGCATCTGTTACATACGTCGGACATTTTGTAGTCTTATGGATCCCGTTTCAGAACTTTTTTAAATACAAAAGAAAAAAGAACGATTTTTGAATTTTCTAGGTTGGCGTTTCGTCAGAATGATTCGAGGCACGATAGTTATACCGTCTCTTGCATTTCTGTTTCTAATAACAGCCGAGTGCCTACTGTCGAACGAAATAGGGGAAGGACAAATGGCCGGAAGTGGAAATAGGAATTGCGTATGCATGAACTGGAGAGGCTGCCATGGGAAGATTAACTCAGAGTAAGTTTAAGATATTTGCCATTGTACGTATCATAACAACTATTAAATTTCATTTTTTCTGGACTTTCGTTCGGCATTTAAGTCTAAAGTCCGTCTGACACGATATGAAACGCAACAAAATTTTTCTGGAAAAAAAATGTGTCAGTTTTTTTACACAGAAACAGCCGCGCAGGCAGAAGAGAATTTTGAAAATTTAGAAAACATTTGAGATTGAAAATTTTGAAAAAGGAGATTGTAAGAATTTGTTAAAATCTTGAAAATTTTATACATTGTGGGAAGTTTGAAAATTGAGCATTTTGAAGAATGAAAATTTTGAAATTCCTCAAAGTTTCGAGAATTTTGAAAATTATTTTTTTTTTGAATATTTGAGGATCTTGAAAGGATCGGTCGTATCGGCCAGTTCCGGATGAGCGAAGTTCGGCACTGTTAGGATGGGATAAAAATTGTGAAAATTTAGTAAACGTTTTGAGATTGATAATTTTTAAAACTGAAAAAGGAAATTTTAAGGATTTTTAAATTCTTGAAAATTTTATATTTTGTGGAAAGTTTGAAAATTGAGCATTTTGAAGAACGAAAATTTTGAAATTCCTCAAAGTTTCGAGAATTTTGAAAATTAATTTTTTTTTGAATATTTGACGATCTTGAAAGGAGCGGTCGTATCGGCCAGTTCCGGATGTGCGAAGTTCGGCACTGTTAGGATGGGATAATAATTGTGAAAATTTAGTAAACGTTTTGAGATTGAAAATTTTGTTAAAACTGAAAAAGGAAATTTTTAGGATTGTTAAAATCTTGAAAATTTTATATTTTGTGGAAAGTTTGAAAATTGAGCATTTTGAAGAATGAAAATTTTGAAATTTCTCAAATTTTCGAGAATTTTGAAAATTATTTTTTTTTGATATTTGAGGATCTTGAAAGTAGCGGTCGTATCGGCCAGTTCCGGATGTGCGAAGTTCGGCCTTGTAGGATGGGATAAAAATTGTGAAAATTTAGTAAACGTTTTGAGATTGATAATTTTGAAAACTGAAAAAGGAAATTTTAAGGATTTTTAAATTCTTGAAAATTTTATATTTTGTGGAAAGTTTGAAAATTGAGCATTTTGAAGAACGAAAATTTTGAAATTCCTCAAAGTTTCGAGAATTTTGAAAATTATTTTTTTTTTGAATATTTGAGGATCTTGAAAGGATCGGTCGTATCGGCCAGTTTCGGATGTGCGAAGTTCGGAACTGTTAGGATGGGATACAAATTGTGTGAGCATTTTGAAGAATGAAAATTTTGAAATTCCTCAAAGTTTCGAGAATTTTTAAAATTATTTTTTTTTAATATTTGAGGATCTTGAAAGGAGCGGTCGTATCGGCCAGTCCGGATGTGCGAAGTTCGGCCTTGTAGGATGGGATAAAAATTGTGAAAATTTAGTAAACATTTTGAGATCGGAAATTTTCAAAAGGGGGATTTTAAGAATTTTAAAAATCTTGAACATCTTATATATTGTGGAAGGTTTGAAAATTGAGCATTTTTTAGAATGAAAATTTTGAAATTCCTGGAAGTTTTGAGAATTTTGAAAATTAAAATAATCTTGAATATTTGAGGATCTTGAAAATCCTCAAAACTGAAAATTTCAAGAACTCGTAGTCTTGAAAATTCAGAATTGTGAGAATTTTGGAGGAAATTAACGATTTTGGAGATCGGAAAATTTGAAAAAGGAAATTGTAATATTGAAATTTTTGAAAATTGAGTGTCTGACTGGAAATATTGAAAACTGAAAATGGAAATATTAAAAATCCTAAAAATTTGAGAATTTTGAAATTTTGAGGATCTTTGAAAATTTTTGAAATTGTGAAAATTTACGAAATTTATCGTACAAATTTTCATATCGTGATAGATAGCCTAAGCTAAGAGCCAAAGATTAATTGATACACTATCTAAAAATGCCTTATTTCTGACATGAACAATCGAAACTTATTTTTTTCAGTGTACAGTGCCCTGGCAGCTACATAAATATTTGTTGTATCGTGCCAACTGCACCAAGGAGTGGTGGGGATCCACGCTACCCTTGACCTGAGGAAGGTCAAATTGCCACGGATTTTTCGCATTTATGTTTTAAAAAAGATATTTTTCACTAAACTGTATTGATAACAATTGATAAAAAGTCTATGCGTATCTTGTTGCTTGCAGAGAAACCGAAAAGAGCATCTCCCACCACCTTATTTTTTAAGTCAGGCAATGAATCAAATCTACTGAAGTATCTTCAAGCAACTCGTTATAATTTCAACTTGCGACACCCACATATGCACGGCACATAAAAAACTAGATTAACCAAATTATTTTATTAAGAAGCATGAGATGAGTCATAGGCGCTCGCGTTTTGAATAAAATGGTTACTCATGGATTGATATGGAAACGCAATTATTTTATACGAACGATATGCTTCCGTAAAAAACTGGTTTCTTCGAACAATGACAAAGAAAAATGCGCATATAGAGGAATTTCATGTATCAAGAATAAAGTAATCCATAAAACAATCTATAGTTTATTGAGTGAATCAAGGCAGTTACGTCACGACGTCAAACGATGACAGTGACGCACATAGTTGCTACATTCATTAAAACTGCTAGATCCTAGGACGTTTTACATTTATGTCTTCGATGCCTGACTGCAACCAACATTACGGAGCGTATGTTTTGTAAACCTAATACCTCTCTTACGGACTGTAAAGGCTCCATGATCTCGTCCGGTCTCAAAACATTTCGTCAAAGAAATGACGAATTCTTTTGCTTGTCCACCCAGAGGTAAAATGCTTAAAACGACGCCTCAAAGATTTGAAAAAAAACTGTTTTCATAAAATAACAAAGCAAATATTGAGGCTTGAGCATTTTAATGTCATAGAGGCCACGCTCACTATCCATCCGATGATGTTTCCTTTTTTTTCCAACGCGTGCGCGGTAATCAATTCAGTTCCCCTCACTCGCGCTCACGACGTACTAAACCACCGCAGAATTTCGGCGAAAGACCGAAAAATGTTTTTTTTGCGGAAGCCCAGAAGGATGTTCAACCAAATCCAATGTTCATTCAAACCTACCCATTATCCTCCTCTCGTTCTCTACATCGCCGAAATCCAGCTGTGAATCCGCAGGCGCGAAACTAACGCCCGCCGGTTTTCTGGGCGGCGTTAGTTCCTCTCCTTTTAGCCGCTCCCCTTCATCCCCACTCCGATCCGTAGGCGTGGTCACTGTTTCGGCTTGAGGCGTGGCCAACGATGATTCGACACCGTCTATTCGGGGCGTGGCCGACCCAAGATCGCGCTCGCATTTCGCAAGCCGACCCCACGACCATTCCGCTTCGGCCGTCATCCACGTCACTAGGTCCTCCACTTTTATCACTACTTTCTCGCTGATGGCCAGCACTTCATCCTGGAACAAAAGAAATTGTTATACTAACGCCGATATTCGGTAGCATAAGAATACGAAATATTTCAAACTTATTTTGCGCCACAGTTCAAGTCTATAGGACACGAATTCCTTCTAGAAGGTTCAGACGTTTAGTTAATGTCGCTCTAGACGACCGCCATTAGGCCCGTTTATATTATAAATACATGTCACTCCTATGGACACTTGTTCCCGGGGTAAGCGTCTAGATCTGGTGAAGCAGTAACTGTTACTGGTGTAAAGATTTCGCAATCTGCCGAAATTGGATGTTATAAGTGTGTCCAACACGCGGTTTTAAGAAGACGGTGCCTCATGTCATACAGCCAATGAAATAATTCAATTACTGCTGAGACATCTCCTGGTCGTCTACTTTCCCGTTTCGGTGATCAGAGTTGGCCCCCTGGATAGTGAGATTTAACACCATTAGATTTCTTCTTATGAAGAAGATTTTAAATTTACCAAAATCTGTGGTTCGTGACATTGTGACACAGCATTTGAACATGCGCAAGGTGTGCGCGAAGATGGTCCCAAAAGTGCTCACTGACGACCAGAAATTGCGGCGAATGGAAGTGTGCCAAGAAAATTTGAACATGTGTGAAAGTGACCCCCAATTTTTGAATAACGTAATCACAGGTGACGAGTCGGGGATCTTTGAGTATGATCCCGAGTCAAAGAGGCAATCTTCCGAGTGGCACACGACGGCGTCTCCTCGCCCAAAAAAGGGAAGAATGAGCAAATCCAAAGTGAAAACGATGCTTATTGTCTTTTTTGACATCAAAGGCATCGTCCACCATGAATTTGTTCCTCCTGGACAAACCGTCAACGCCAAGTTTTACGTCGAAGTGCTCAGGAGACTCAAACGAAGGGTATTCCATACCTAACCCTTTCCTAAGTACTTTATGGTTAAATAAAAAATAACAATCTAAAGACTTGAAACTGTGTTTTTAAATTAAAAACTTCTTTGACACGATTTTCATTTTTAATTCATTGATTGCCTAATACGCCTGAACTAATGCCGTGATGATTGCTGAATTCGAATTATTTTATTCAAGGTTAAACGGTTGAGTGTTATGAGTTCATCTCGGCTTGATATTTATTCAGCTTATATGCAAAATGATTTCGTTTTAGATAATCAAGCGAAATAAAATTATTTATTGTTTCTGAGGTCAAGCTTCGATTTCTATTCAAATAATGGTGTTTCACACGTGACAATCTACGAAAAATGTATATCATCGTTCATTTTTGGACCATGTTTCTTCCAGTTTTCGTTAATTATGCCACCACGTTTTGGGCCCGCAAGACGTACCCGCTAGGCTTCTGCTTCCCATAATAGTGAAACAAAATTATCCATCCTTTTCGTTTATGTATATTACTGTATACGATTTAAATACTTCGCATTTATAGTATATTCAGATAAGAGATAGACAGGATGTAAACAAAAGGTTCGGGTGATTTTCACGCTAACGCCGCCGTCTCGACGTAAAACAGGAGCCCTCATTGGTCAATTCGCAATTAAATGCCTATGCCGAGCGGCAGAGCAGTCGTATCAAGGCAGAGTCACATTCAGGTTCAGACGTGTTACGTATGTCGTGTGCATCATTGCAATTTGATATTTCTTTGGACGTTTTCGTTTGTTATCTTATTAAGTTGTTGAGTTTGTCGTTGTTATTGTTATACCTTGTTATTGATTGTTATTGTTATCAACTGCTTGCGCAAAATGCCCAGTAGTACAGATACTGCCGATGAAGTTGTAAACTCCTGTAGTCCACCTAGGAAACGCTCTAAAAAAAGACACCTGAGTGCAGAAATGAAAGAGGTCATTTTGAATATATATAAGATCGAGCGCGAGGAGAACGAGGCATCAACCATCAAAGAAATTGTTGTGAAGGTTTCTCACAAAGTTGGGGTGTGTCGCGCATCAGTGTTTAATGTGTTAAGACAATACAAAAAAAATCACACCTTTTCTGAGCCAATGACCAGTAAACATCGCAAAAGTATTGTTAAATCATTGGATGAAGCTGATAAGCATGCGATTAGGAGGAAAGTGCACGAATTCTTCTTTAGGAATGAAATACCTACTATAGATAAAGTACTGCAGGAGGTAAATGGAGATACAACGTTGCCAAATTTCAAACGATCAACTTTCCATGCGTTACTGAAGCATTTAAATTTCAAATGGAAAAAACGGGGTCGTAATAGTTTACTACTGGATAGAGAAGAAATTGTGCTATGGAGGAGGGATTATTTAACAAAAATTGGGAAATATAGAAATCAAAACAGGCAGATTTATTACCTTGATGAAACGTGGGTAAACGCAGGACACACTACAAGTAAAGTATGGGTTGATGATTCTGTAACTTCATCCAGGAGGGCCTTTCTAGATGGACTGTCCACCGGATTAAAAAATCCAGCAGGTAAATACGAGTAATAGACAACAATCGGATGTTTTTCAAACCTTGGGAACAAGGTTCTAAACATTAATTCCAGGGGGCAGATAAAACATATTACAAGTAACAAAACTTTTATAACTTTCGATAAAATGCGTGGATGTTTTATTGTCATTTTCATTTGTTAGAACTTTTTTAAGCCATGTTTTTATGTGTTTTCGATATTTCAATAATTTTTTAATATAATCTTAAAATATGTCGAATATTATAAACTTAAAAAAAGTTACTAAGTTTTATATTGTGTACCGTTCCTAATATTTCTAATCATTTTAATTCATACTTTAAGCTTTATAAAGTTATAATTTGTTAATATTAATATTTGCGCGTATTTCAGGTTCCTGATCATCCAGTTTTTAAAGGTTTATAACTTTAAATTAAATTGTGAAGCGCTGAGTAATCATACGACGTTCAATATCCTTTCTTTCAATATGACTAAATAATCCCAATTATAGCAATCTGATACTCATGTCTCAATGTTTTTTCGCTGAATGTGATGAAAACATTTGAAAAAGGTTCGCTTATTGAAATAAATCTACACCAGTTAGTACTTCGATTTCCAGGTAAAGGGAAAAGGCTCATTATCTGCCATATTGGCAGTGAGGATGGATTTGTTGTTGACGGTCTGTGGTGCTTTGAGTCTAAGAAAACTGGAGATTACCACGAGGAAATGAATGGCGAATCGTTTGAACAGTGGTTTTCAAAAATTTTACCGAACTTAGAGGAAAACGCAGTAATTGTGTTGGATAATGCGCCTTATCATTCTCGAAGAATGGAGGAGGTCCCAACAACGGCTTCAAGGAAAGTTGATGTTCAAAATTGGCTCCGCTCGAAAAATATCAACTTTGAAGAAGCAATGCTGAAAGTACAATTATTAAGAATTGTCAAGGATCACAAGGCGGAATATCAAAAATACGCCATTGACGAAATGGCAGCAAGTCAAAATAAAACTATGCTCCGTTTACCTCCATACCATTGCGAGCTCAATCCCATTGAGCTCATATGGGCAGAGGTTACAAATTATATAGCTAAGCACAATACAACTTTTAAATTTTGTGACCTCAAAGGACTTTTCAAAGAAGCACTAGAATTAATAACAGCGCAAAAATGGGAAAACTGTATTAAGCACGTGAAAGACAAAGTTGAAAAGAGAATGTGGGAATTGGACAATATTTTAGAGGAACAAGTCGAGCCATTCATTATTGACGTTGGTGCTTCAGGCAGTAGCGATGATGAAAGCTCATCAAGCTCATCTTTCCAATAAAAGATGTCGTTCATCAAATTCGGTAAGTTATAAGTAAATATAAAGCTACTGTATTTTTTAATTAATTATTGACATTTTTGAACCCATTTTGGCAAAACCTATTCAAGAATCTACTTTCTGACAATGTTCAACCATGCACATTTTAGAAATCAAAAAATATACTAATCAATATTCTAAAAGCAATTTTAAGAGATATACGATTATTTTTAATTTATTCTAATTTAAACGCCATTTTGAGATTATATTCGACTGTATTTCACCAAACATCAGGCGGCATCCGAAGCTGGAAATCGAAGCGAAAATTTTGAAACCCTTATGTATATTTACATCATTATATATTTCTTACCCCACCCCCACATGATCCTATATCCATGACCAATTGTGCTAATTTACTACAAAGTTACGCAAAGCAGCATCTACTATCTAAAATATGTACTGCGTGACTCTTAATACATCCCTGCCGAATGTTACAGCGTTCGATGATCACGTGGTCTTGTTTATGTCCGGTCTATCTCTTATCTAAATATACTGTAGTCGTTTAAATAACGGGCTATAGTTTGGAAATTCTGTAATCATTCAAGGTTGAAGCATCGTCAAATATCGATCACTTACTTTCTCATCATATCAGCCTAGTAGAAGGTATCTATTATGTAAATTCACCAGTGGCGTGTAGAGCACAGCGACAACAATTACCCAAAGTTTCTAGAAGTATTTTCAGATTACAGGGTGTGCCGATATTCCCTGGACATAGAAGTACCGCGTATTTTTAGGCTCCGCGTGGTCATGATTTACCTCTGTGCAAAATTGCTTCGTTTGTCCCTTAGATGGCGTCATGAGTTTGGCAATGAGCTAGCTCCAAGCATGTACAGGGTGGCCGATACGTAACTGACTGGTTTGTATCTTGAATATTGGTGAAACGAAATAAATTACGTACACTTTTTTTACATCTTAATCTTTTATCTGCGGTCACTAGGCTGTAGTTCTCGGGTTAACTGAACTTTGTATTGCTGCAAATGCAAGTCTTTTATTAAAATGGCGCATAATGACGTGCGACGAATACCCAGTTTTTGAGAACGATGTCTGGTAGACGTCTCAGGGCGCACTTCCACAAACTCTCTCGATATTTTCCGGAGTACGAACAGTTCGAACACGCTTTGTGTCAATTGTACAATTAAATTAAATAGTCCAAGTCAGACTATTGGTCCATACGGTTAAAA